TGGCAGCCTTTTGCAACCTTGAAAGGACTTGCTCTTATCTGGGACAATTAGTTTGGAATGACTCTTGGCTGTGAATGTACAGAATTCGCAGCGCTGCATTAAAAAGGTTTGCTTATATAAATACTCTGTTTGTTTTATTTGAACAAGCCTTTGGTCAGAACATTGCCTATTCCAAGCTGTGAGTAGGTTCCTACCAAACTGCCTAGCAGATCCTTGTAGAAAACCTGAGCTCTGTTTAAAACCCAGCTATGTTCCTCCACCCCAACATTTCCCAGATAAAAATGGGATGCTACTCAGTAGGATCTGATATAATATAGCGACTGGAAGGGTCCTTCTTTCGTTCCATTTCAATATTAGCAGAAATACATAAGAAAAAAAACTAAGGGTAGTATTCCTCAGATGGTGCCACATCATCATCATCCTCTTTTAATCACCCAATAATCCCATGCGGGATGGAGTCTGGCAACTGAATGTTTACTGGCCGGATGCCACTCCTGTTGCCAATGTGGATTTTTTCCCAGCAAATATATTCTCAGCCTGCCCAGAGAGAGAAATATCTTCCTCTATCTAGGATCAAACTCACAGCCTCCTGATTGTGAGGTGAGAGCTCCACCTCTAGGCCACCGCATCACCTCAGATGGTGCTACATCTCTTTCCGAAAAAATAAATCAGTCTCCAAAGACTTTCTGCAACAATCAACTCTTCATAAATTTCCAGAAGGCCACAAGGGTCAGTCTTACAAATGGTTCTGTAGAAAGAGAGGCCCCTACAGAGAATATTCATTTCCAGGAGTACTTACACCAAATAAATTGGGAGCTTCAGCAGGCATTATAAGCCATATAACTGTTTAGAGGTAATAATCAACATTTTGTATTATACACAGAAACAATGTATTGTTACATGGGCATTGGGCAATCAAACCTCATGCTCCCAGCTACCAGAATGTAGGAAAATTAATCAGGCACAAAATTCACATGGCATTTCTTTGTCTCTTTACAGGACACTGTTTCCGTTTTATGATCTGAAACTATGGTTAATGAATCTATGTCAAGGAATTTTGAAGCAAATACTTTTTTTTTTTACAAATAGAGAATCTTATAGCAAAGCACAATGCTTTTTCCTCTTTACATTGGTCATCTTTTCTTCCATATATTTAGGAAAATATTCAAGGAGTGCTTTCCATTTTCTGCTCTGACTTCATCTCCCTAAGGAGCAGAATTTACATCGTTGGCATACTGGACAGACACTGTGCAACGAATGCTTCATGTCTATCTGTTTTAAAATTAAACATTGAGGCAATCTCCTTGTAAAGATACTACAAATAGTAAATGATTGATTTTTCAAATAGTTCAATTTTTGTTACAGAACTAGGTAATTTTGTCCATAGATCTCCCTTCATCCTTGTTTTAGGCATCACACCCTTCTTACACTCAAGGTGCACCAAGATTTCCCAGGGTTCAAACCATTATTGCTTTAGGGAAGAATTTAAACTTGCTCCTTTCAAACTTATCTCAAAGTAAGTCACATTGATCCCAATGGATTTTCTTTCTGAGTAAATGGCCTAGATTTGTACTGCCAATAAAACAATGACTTTTGAGACCAAATGGATTGGAGGTGAGTAGTAAACAGCAGAATAATTTACAAGAAATTATTATCAGTCTGTTCTGCTTAGAATTTCCAGCAGAAAAGTTATTTGTCCTGAGATACATATTACCAAGGGCAATGACTATAGTATATTTTTTGTTGGCAAGGCAAAACAATTTGCTTTTTGGCAAAGCAAAACAATTGGCAAAGCAAAACTGCCTTCCTTCATGTATAAATCTTGAAAATAAATATCAAAAATAGTATTTCCAGTTCTATTTTGAAGGAATACAGTCACATTAAGATATAAAGAGTGGATTCTCACTTATCAGTGACTTTGCCAGCTCTTAAAAATAAGACAATGCAGAAAACATAGTCTAAAATTATTCAGATATATGGATTGATGTGAAAATGGCAGCTCTCCAAATTTTGTAGCCCCTGGAACAAAACCATCTGACTTGGCACCTAAATTTTCGATGAAATTCCAACATTTGTTTCATTATCCACATATAATTCTGTTATTTTTTTAATGTGTCATTTTCTCAGCCAAAATAGCTTCCAAAGTAGTAACTCTCTAAGCCCAATGCAAAATATAACAAGGTGTTGAAAAGTGCTTATATGTATATTATATAAGTGAATTACAGTGGATATTGCTCATCTAACATCAGCCATAAAGTTTGCTATTTATAGGATTAATAAACATGGTAGGTAGCATCCAGCATATTTTTAAACAATTTTAGCAACAGTTCTTAAAAATCTGTAGGACTATCAGAATCCCAGTTAGACACTTTGTTCTAAACATAGAAAGGGGAGAAGGATCATTATGGAATATGGGTAAGATTTAAAGTAGATCATAGTGGTATACTAAAATAATACTTGGTTCAGTTATATAGTTGAATCATTTTAGACATGAGTAAATAGCTTTGTCCATCTTCCTTTTAGGTACTTTCACTGTCCAGCATGTAAGAACTGTTGCATGCTTTAGAACAGGTGTGTCAAACTCAAGGCCTGGGAGCCAGATCTGGCCCGCAGGGTGCTTAGATTTGACCCGTGGGGCCACCCTTGAAACAGTGAAGGACCGGCCCATGGTGCCTCTGCTAGCAAAAATGGAGCTTGCAAGGGCCACTTGTAGCCTTCCCAAGCTCAGCTTTCACTAGCAGAGGTTGCAGGCCATCCCAGCTGAAAATAAAGCTCAAGCGAGCCATGTGCGGCCCTCTGGGCTCTGTTTTCACTGGCAGAGGGTTGCAGGAGGGCGTCCCAGCTAAAAACGGAGCTTGGGAGCCTGTTTTTGCTGGCAGAGTGCTTGGGCCACAGGTGCCTGGCAACATGAGTGATGTCATACTGGCCACTCCCATCCTGGCCACACCCACCATGCCCCCCCCAAAGATCAAACACAACCGTGATGTGGCCCTTAATGAAAACGAGTTTGACACCTCTGCTTTAGAACTACTTCAACATTTGTTGTATTAGAGAGAGAAAATATTGTACTTATTATAAATTTTGAATGTGCAAATTCTGAGCATGTGTTTTATTTCAAATGGAAGGAATGCTGAGGTGCCACATTATGCCAGAAAGTTGCACCTTTACTTGCCATTAACTATAAGGGTTAACCTGTGCTTTAGATTTGAAAAGAAAAAGAGTGTTGGAGCACACACAAGCATATACATTGCTTCTCAAATCAAATGCATGTTTTCCTGAGAATATTCATTGAATTGGTTTCTATAGCTGCCCATTTCTATCCAGTTGACTGTTACACTAGACTAGTCAGATTTCAGTATGGCCTAATCCCTTATTGGATGTTGTTGGATGTCCCTGAAGAAGATGGACGAAGAAATAGAAGAAGAAATTCTATACAAAACTATCATTTGAAGTGCTGTCTTCACATTCCACCTGATTTATGGATTATTAATTGGCAACACTAGCAGAAAATTGGTTGAACAAAATATTTATAATGAGAAATACATATTGCTTTAGCCAAATATGATATGATGTGGTTAAGTAAGATGTACTCCATCAAATAAGGGATTCATATTGCATGTGGGATGGTTGTCTTTGCAAAATGGACTCCCCATACTTTCCAAAGTAGTCAGGGGTAAGGCTCAGGCTTTTAATCTACGATTTTCAGAGCATCTTTGCTGAAATTCAGGGCCAGAATGGCTGATGTTCAGCTATATAGTTTTTAATAGTCCTAACATTTATCCCATGTCTTTTGTATCAATCTGCAGCATTTAAAGACTAAAATAATAACTTTTAGGTGGCATTTACCCTCGATGAGAATTGCAAGAATGTTCAAGAACAAATTGGATGAATGTTGAAAATGTTATCAGATACCTGGTTCATATTACCATATGGGGTGGACATGCTCGGATGCAAAAAGACATAGGATGAAAATCCACTCATGGCTGGAAAAAAATGATAAAACAATACACAGACTTTAAACCAGAGATATCTTTATTGGGAATTATACCGGAAATATATAATAAAGAATTGAAATATTTGATTGTTAATGTTTTAACAGTGGCTAGAATTGTATTTGTTAAGAATTGTAAAAATGAAAAAACACCTATGCAGGAGGAAGTTATTAAGAAAATTATGGATTGTGCTGAAATGAGTATATTGACATTTGAAATTAGAGAACAAGAAGATAAACAATTTTATAAGATATGAGATTTATTTTATCAATGGTTAAACAAAAAGTCATGGTAATGAAATATATTAGGACATTTCATAATATAAGACTAGTAGAATGATATAGAATATAATATAAAAATATATAACATTGGATGAATGCATAATATACATTCATATAAAATTTAGAATATTCTGTATAAAATGATGGTATAGTTTAGTCAAATGAATGATTAATAACTGATAATGTATAAATATATGTTGGATTGATAATGTGAGAATCTATACAAATTGTAAGTGAGGACTATGAAAGGATAGCACAAAAGATTTGTAGCCAACTTAAACACTGTACGTATATAACTGGAAGATGGTTTTATGTTTTTTATGTTTTGTTTGTGTTTTCGTTTCAAAAATAAAAAATAAATTAAAAAAAGACTAAAATAATAACTTTGAAAATACAGATGCCAGGAGGAAGATGTTATCTGTATTTTTTTTTCTGAAAGAAATTGATTTTTTTCATCTTTCCTTATCCCCAGATGTGAACTGCAAGACACTAGTAGATTTAGGGAGAGTGACTTAATTTAGCTTCTCACCTTCATGGAAAATGCTGTCAGTTAATTTATTTAACCTTCGTTGTTTGTCCATGTTTGTGTGTTTTTACCTACAACAATGACTTCTATACATATATAAAGTTATTCACAGAGATGACTTATTAAAAACCAATTCTTTAATAAAGCTGCATGTTTCTTTTTAGCTGGGGAAAACTGAAGATATCAATGTTTGTGTCTTAGGTGATTGTGAAAACAAGAACAGAATATCAACCAGACCAGAAGAACAAAGGAAAACTTAGAGTGCCCAAAATTGCTGAATTCACAGTCAGTTTCACTGATGGTGTAACAGAAAGGTTAAAGGTAAGAAATGCAGAGGTTTGTCCAGTAAATGTCCAGTTTTCAATTGTCATAGAATAATTAATAGACAGCAGCTCTCCTATTTTGGCATACAACTCAAGATCACATGGAATTAAGAATTCTTGGGTTGGAACATACAGTTTACCAATGCATGTTACCATGGTGCATTAAAGTTGGATTAAAGCTGGCGCATTAAAGATTGGATTAGATGTATGACATGAAGAGGAAGAGGGATTCAGCCAGGCCCAGCCTAGCTCTGCCTAGCTGCTATTACCCATGCTATGAGAAACCTACAGTGATAGTCAGAATTCAGTTGGGGAATCAAACTTCTTGCCTTCATTCTAACCATGATTTAAATGATTCCTTAATTCATTAATTACCTTAATTATCTGAATTTTGGTATGTTCGACCTCAAAATCACAAGATACTTCCAGAATCTAAAGGTAAATGATTCTTCATGTTTTTATAAAAATCATGCATTATATTAAATCTATGTTCTACTCCATCTGTTTCTTATTGGCAGAGAGGTTTCAGAGTTGTTAGGCTGATTACATAGCGGAGAAACAGACCTGATTATGCAGTAGATTGAATTTGGGCTCAATTGCAAAATTTTATACTGTTGCAAAAAATCCCAGATTAAAAGGATGTCATCTCCCTGACTCAAAATGATTACTGATAATATTGCTACTGTTAGGAGGACATAATGAAAAAACAGAAATTGCATTTGAACATGAAATTCATGCAAGCAGACTATTTCTATCAAGGCCTGTTCATTGGCAGGTATGACCTTGGCAAGGTCTGTGATCTGGGTTTCTCTAAAGGATGAGATAAAAACTATAAACTTTATTTATCAGTAAAGAGGAATCATAAATTTTGGCATGAGAATGAGCTGCAGCAAATTTTAGAGTGATCTACTCCTGCTCCTGTAATTTCTTTTTTCTGTCTGTCATGAGGTATTTGTTCAATTTGCATTTTGATGTAAATTTACTTAATTTGAAGCTTTCAAATCAATGTGCAGCCTGTGAATATATATAATTGTATATATTAAAGAAAATTGTGCAAGAAATGTCTATATTTTTCTGATGAACTGCACATGAATATATATGAAATTTGGAAATAAAAGAATGATAATCTGATTCTATAAGGAATTTAATTCTAAAAAAATTAGGACCTGAAATGAAAGTATCTTATTTTCTATAGAAAACTAGCAGCTTCCACTTTTGATATCAAATTAGTATCAAATGCAGGAGACTTTCCTGTGATCTCCAGCCTTGATTTATTTAAAACATGTTATCTGGAATAAAACATTCTTCGAAAGTATTGTTTGGTCCCAATGCATTGCTAATTCCATAAAAATCATACCTCAGAATTGCATGCATAATTGACAACCCTTCTGTAGTTATACAGTATGTGGGAAACACAGCTTCTATATCCATGTTGCCATATGAATGGCATCCACATCAAAAAGTAATCTTATAAGTATAGTATTAGCAACCATGTTGCATATGAAGTTGCAGAATAGTTCCGTTGACTGGAGTTCTGCTTTGTATACCACTGAATCTTGTCTCAACACAAGATCTATAAGAGTTAGTTTGAAATGAACTATGGACACGGGAATCAAAAATCTGCCAACAATCAATACAAAATGTAAAAATTAATAGCACTTGGACTTAAATCAATGCAAGGGCCAAATTTTATCCTTTGAAAAGTTCTGAGAATCCTTTGAAATCAGTATCTTATGCTTCCTTAAACCAGGAAAATGGTTTTCTTCATCAGGACTCTATAGCCTGAAATTTGGAGGCATATTTAGTTACAAAAACACATTACTGACAACATAGTTCCCTATCATTTTTATTTCTCTTTAATTGATCTCCAAAGCTACTGTTTTAACTCTCTTTCCCTTCCCAAGCATTTTTCTCACATTGGTTGTTATCTGGGTCAGCAAATAAATCCAATGATCTGTCATTCAATGGAAAATGTCAGTGCTATTTTCTGACTCTTCATTTGATTTTGATTTTGAGCTCTCTGCATCACCTATTAATCACCTATCATTAATCACATAAAAGAAGGTCAATCAATCTTTATTGTCAAACATGTGTACAATGAGATTGGCTAGAAAATAGACTGGGATGTAAACTTCTGCCTGCTTTTTATAGATACTCCATATTCTATATTTATTGACTTTATTGGATTATTTCCTGATTAAAATAAGCTGAGATAATAGATCATTTTTATTATATCTTATATGTTTTTAAAAAATTGTTCTTCATTTTTATTCCAGTGAATATTGTCAGGAGTAAATATACTTCCTTCTGATTATACACATATCTTTTATCTTGTGCTAGAAAAATATATTTCATTTGTGCTTATGGAGAAGGGAAGGGGCACAAATGTTTTAAGGTTTATCGATTTTGATTCTGGTACTTTTAAAAATAAAAGGAAAGGTAAGGAAAGGGGTGAAGGAAATAAAGACTAACAGATCTTGTAAATGAGATCATCATGTTTTCTGTTTTTAGATAGAAGCTTGTTACTCAATATAACTCTCCAGTGAGTAATGTGCTAGAAATTTCATTTTCATCTTTCTGGAACAGTAAAAACGGACTTTTATCATATATATAAGCCATCTTTTCATTTTTTCTAAATCTTTGTGTGATTGCTTATTAAGAAGTAATTATTACTATGCTCAGTGGAATTTGCTCTTAAATTGGATTTAAGGAACTGCAGCCTTCTTTGTCCTTCCACCCAGAGTTTATTCATAGAGCTTTTCTATAACAGATTCTTGGTGTCTAAATATAGGGAAGGAGCAAGTGGTTTGATTAATATCAGTGAGATTCATATAGCTGTTTGAGAAGACTTCAATTTCCAAAATGACCATTTTCTTAGTTTTGCTTCTCCTGTTTTACTAATTCTGATGCACATTTACTTTTGAGTAAACTCATTTGAATTTAATGCCCTCCCGCTGATATTGTTGATCTACAGGATTTCCTTCCTAAAATGTCATGTGGTGCTTGAAACATTTGAATCTGTTTTTCAAATATAGACTAAAACATTTCTTTTAATGGTATGTTTTTGATAAGATAGTCTTATGAGGAAAAATGTAGGTTTGCAGATAGTTTCTTAGTGGTTGAAGTTTACAAATACAGCTATATGGGTGCCCCATTGTGAATTTATATTTTTAACAAACTTGATTTAATTGCTGCTATTAGGGAAGTTGTTAAATGTTTTGTATTTTTAGATAAAACAAGAACAATCCATTTACTTTGGAAAAAGATATGTTTTCTTGTTTAGATATTTAACTAAGGCATTTCCTTTTCTTTTGCTCCGATGTGAGTGAAAATTTCATTGTGGCAGCAGCCATATTTATTTTCCCCAAACTTAAAAATCACTTCAAAACAACATTTTAGGGCCAAAAGTAATAATGCTATCACTCCTTCCCCTCCAAGGAATATTGCCTTACCCTCAAAATATAGGAAAAAGAAAATATCTAACATTTAAAAAGGGATCCTTCTCAATTAGACTATGTCCTATGTTGCTTCTAGCTTTTCCTTCCATCTCCCGCTTGTAAAAACAGCTTTGTATTTCTGCTGAAAATAGGTTGTGATCACATGCCTATTGCAGAACTGTCTAAAGTATGCAAATTAAGCCAAATAGTGTGCTGTTTTTGCTCAGTATATTCTGATTTTTCCTATTAGAGTACAGAAATAGAAATTCTCAAGGATATTGATGTTCCTTTGACTTCCAGAAATCTTTTTAGCTATGTCCTTGACATAGAAATTTCTGCATTATCAAACATCAATTTCCACTTTTGCTAAAGGGTGAAAACTTGCCTAAAAATAATGAAAATTGAGAGTGAGGTTTACCTTCCAGCATTATATTCTTCTTACTTTGCGTATTCTCTGTCACATTAAGTTTATCCTAATCTTTGCCTTTAAACATACTAATTTTAAGAACAGTAAGACCTTTTATTTAGAAAACTACATTCTTTTATTTCCAAAAATAAAAGTAGCCATCTTCCCTCCAAAATTATGAAAATGATATGCTTTCTATAGGGACCCAGAACGTGAAGAGACATCTCCTATATATCTTGTTCAAGAGATTTTACTGGGTGGGTTGATGAGACTTTGCAAAAACTGAGATACACCAAACTACCATATTGTACACTAAATATACCTACCTGACAAGGAAGGGGAAGCCTGGAGAACTTGTAGAATCTTTTTGAGGGACTTAATAATAGTTCTGTTCTGCATCACATGACTTGAAGGGAGAAGGAAGGAAGTTTGGAACAAAGGATCAACTTTGATGCCCAACTATCTTTTATAGGTAGAGATTTTTAATGACCCCTTGCCAGCTCTGGCTGGACAGAACCTATTTTTGAATTCAGTCCTTATTTTCTTCCCCCAGGGGCAAACATGGTCCAGTTCCATCAGATTCCAAAGATTTATCCATACTCATAGAGAGAGATAGTCAAGAGTTGTGACCCCATTCATATGCCTTCTTTCCGACTCTTTGTCAGGTTGGATAAAAAGATAATTATATACAGAAGATCGTATGCCTGCTGTATCCTTCACTATCCATTAAGGACGGGCCACAGATTAGTTTTATTAATTCCATAGATTAATTCATATGAGCAAAAGGTACTTAATGGGTGGCTTCAGTTTTCAGTCAGCACTAAAAAAGAAAATCAATAAATGGCCGACCATCTTCTGTAGCTTTAGAAGCTCCGTGTTTCTCATTCATGGTAATGTGTGATTTGCCCGTCTGTTTCATCTGTTTAGCCCATTTGGTAGAAAATCAATTATTTTTATTTAGAAGTTTGGGGGGAAGGGATAATTCTATAATGGAATGGAGAGGGTTTAAGATGCATGCTAGACATCAAGAATGTGCTTCTTTCTATTTTCCTTTAGTTTTGTCAGTATGTGAATGGTAGCCTATGTAATTGGTGCAAGATTGATAACATATGTTTCAATGACTTTCCTAGTGTACTTCAATGATGGTTTCTGAAC